TGGTGGAAGATTAGTAAAGAGACAAAAAAAAGATCAATCACAGTCATGCTTTACTGAGGTCTTTTTGCATGATGCCATGTGGGAATGCAAGGACTTGCAGTCCAATTCAGCTCTGTTTGTCCTTCAGATACTCTGCACCCTCCCAGTATCAATTAGTTCCAACTTCTAATCCCATCCCAACCGACCTTTCTACTCTTCTTTTCCCTAAAACATCTCATCAAAACCAACCCAAACCAATTTGCATCGCACTTTGGTTTCATTTCTTCCCCATCCTTCCAGTATTACTTCAGAGAGTTACAGCAAGCATCTGCCAACTTTAAAAACAGCAAGGAAATGAAAAATACTGAGAAGGTGCAAGTCCATTTTAATAACAAAGCATTACCCAATTTCCTTCAGGCTGCTACAAGAGTCAGCCTACACATTTACCCATACATCGCTCATCTTAGGACTAAAATAAATACAGCAAAATAGTCGAGAGGTGGAAAGAGCCATTTTGGCATTCATCTTTACCCAGGTACAAGCACAGAGTTATACAACAACCAATGTTTTGTCGAATTAAGCTGTATCACAAGTAAATTATACCCTTGCCACTCTCAGCTGGGAATACCATTACATCCTAAACAGATCAACTAAAAAAGACCCACTCTTCTACTTGTGCTTTCACCCTTGTTCAACCCCAAGTTCAACCTTGTGTTTTTCATTACTTTTAAATGTAAATAAAGTGTTTACAACCTCCATATCACTTGCATCTTTTCAACATTTGTACCTGCACAAATACTAGCCAGTTTATTTTAACACAAAAAAAGATAACATTAAAAAAAGATAAAAACACAAATAGTCTGCCTGGTCACAGAAAAGACTGGGAACAGCAAATAGCATAACAGAATCCAAAAGCCTTTAAGAAAAAGGACACAGTTTATTTCTGTGCCTCATCAACTGAAGAGTTTCTTTCCCCTCTCCACACACCCCCCCCCCCAAGTGACACATAGGAGCTGTCACAATTTGAAATACGACAAGGCCAGAGAGAAAAAACCAGCCTGTATCACTTCCATTTTACATGACATAGCCCTCCTGGAGCACAAAGGTACAATAGATTTTCCTACTCCTACTTAATCCCTTCTGCAGGCTCTTCTAATTTTGGTATCAAAGTACCACTGCTCACCACACTTCATGTTTTCTAAGATACAGTGCATGTATTTACCACTATCCAAGCCCAATGCTCCACAGCCCATGCATCTCAATTTTTTATGCTTCTAACTATAGTTTCATTCTCTGAAATCACTTAACTCACTCCAGCTTCATACTGGCAAATTTCCTTCAAAAGGGAAGCTCTCCATACATACAGGTGAATTCATTTAGCTTTACCAAGATGCACGATCATGCGTGCTGGCAAGAAGCACTCACAGAAAATAGCAGGATTACCTGTGAGATTAGCTGCCATCTCTTCAGCAGTCTGACACAGCCTCAGCCCTTGTTTTAGGGGACCTTCTGAGTCCACATACTGACGGCGCTTGAGGTAGCAGGACACTGCCATCTGAATCTGTTCTGTGCGTACGCGTTTCATGACCTGGAAAGAAAAGAAAGATGATGGACTGCTACTGGGGAGGCATCTGCTGAGACCAACACGCACCATAGCTGTACTGCAAGTGATAGGGAACAAATGGCATTTTCATTGCTGAAGTTAAACAGCTCCATTACTGAAGCATGAAATAAAGCTTGTGGGCACCTGTCACAGTACCAAGGCATAACCTTCATGCTTTGAATCAGCTCCCTGAAGATATTTTGCTGCTTAATTCTACTGATTTCACTAGGAAATCCACAATACCGTTGAGGAGTGCACACTGAAGCTGCAGTGATCAGTCAAAGTATTTGATTTTGTTAAAGTAACTCACAAAAAGGAAAAGTTTCTCCTCCTTGCTTTTTACAGTAACTTCAGCTGTGTGCTGATTCTTCTGCTTAAACAACCAACAAAATGACACCAGAAGAGCCAGGCGAATAAGAAATTAATATAAAAAGGTGGGAATTTCAGAATAGTCATGCTTTAAATAGCCTACTTGTTTCACTTATTTGGGGAATCAAAGAAGCAACAGCTTATAGCCTGAATTTACAGGTCAGGCCCAGCGTTCTGGTGCCTCAGTCAGGTACGTTCCCAGAAAAAAAAAAAAAAAGAAAAAAGAAAAAAAGAAAAAGCCAAAGCCTTTTACACCTGCCCCCATCCACGTAGACTTACCACACAAATTAAAAAAAGATCCTCCGAAGTTTCCCCTAAGTAAATTTTGAAAGCCATCCTCACAAGCACTACCTGGTTGTATCTCGAACCCAAAAGGAGACTGATGCTCACTTTCAACCTCTGGCTTTTCACAAAAGCCTCAAGAAGGGGAATGGAACAGCTCACTTCTATCTGAGTAGTTACCAGCTGCCTTTAGACAATAGCCACGGAGCAGCTAAATCTGATGAAACGCAGCTTTGCAGAGAGTCAGGCACATACGACCTTTCTTCCCTGTTCCAAGAACTGTGCTCCTAACAAAATGCCAACTCAAAAAGCAGGCCATAGCCCAGCCTTCTCAGTATCCACACACGTCTGTGCTTATCCCAGCTGTCAGAGCAATGAGCTATCTGAGAAGTCCCAAGTAGACAGAGATGCAAGGTTTTAGCATAAGTCACTTCAAACACAAAGTGGAACTGCAAGCCCTAATGACAGGGAGAAAACTTTAAAGGGATTTCCATTTGCTCTCAAAGATGAAGTAACGGCTGATGGTGGGGAAGGGGCACTGACACCTGTAAGTTTTGAAAGCATTCTCAGATAGATCTATTAAAATCAACTACAACTTATTCCGTGTCAAAAACAAATTTCCTTTTAAAACTTCAATTAAATAAATCACCTTGATTTACGTTGCTACAAATGCACCCTCAGCAAGTCCACTGATGATATGAAGCTGGGAGGAGTGGCTGACGCACCAGAATGCTGTACTGCCGTTCAATGAGATCCAGACAGGTTGGAGATATGGGAAGGGAAGAACCTGATGAGGTTAAACAAGGGCAAGTGCAAAGTCTTGCACCTCAAGAGGAATAATCACACTCATCAGCATAGTTAGGGGCTGAGCTGCTGGAGATCTGCTCTGCAGGGAAGGATCTGCCGGTGGACAGCAGGTTGGCCATGAGCCAGCAGAGAGCCCTTATGGCCAAGAAGGCCAATGGGATCCTGGGATGCAAGTTGAGGGAGATGATCCTCCCCCACTGCTCTGCCTGGTGAGGCTCCTCAGTTCAACAAAGACTGGGTCTTTCTTACTTTCAAGTGACAGTGCAGCAGGACAGAAGTCTTCCCCAGGAAACCCCTTTGGGCACCAAGCTCAGGCCTCTTACTTTGCCATCATCCCTCACCCTTAGCACCAGAAAAAGCAATGCCACAAGCAGGGAAAGTTTGATAGTGAAAAATGGATTGACAATGCAAGAAAAGAAAAACAACATTCCTATAAATATTCTTCTCCAAGCCCTAAAAAACAGGGTTTATCATAAAACAAACGTAAGAAAGGGCTGCCAAAATGCCTTGAGCTGGGCTCAAATTGAGCACATTCACAACAGGTCAATGATGCAGAACTGAAGGGCAAAAAGGACACATTTGTCCCCCCTGGACCTTCGCATCATGTCCTCGCCTGGCTCTCAGAGCTGACGAGGATCTTCAGGACATGCACACATCAACCCTATGTTGCTTCTGTGCCTGCAGGAAGCCTGGAGCACTCTTTCATTAGTCTCAGCTGCCTTGCTCCACCCAAACACCCCAAGAATGATAAATACTAGTGCCATTAATTATTTTGACTGATAAGCAAAATACACAAGGAAAGAGAACCATCACCTCAGGAGCCTACACAGCTACAGTGCAGCCTCTTTTGCACAGTCACCAGTGCGAGGACGCAAAAGAGACACTGAGCTGCCGCTCTTTGAGGAACCAGAACACAGAAACCCAGAGAATACATCGTAGGTTCCTCTTTCTTAGAAGAGCTGGAAGTTGGCTGTGTGTTGAGCACTGGGTCGGGAGAATTCACTTCCTCCCACCCAGGTGCAGGTTTAGGCAGATTCCGCAGCCCTTTAGTATCACAGCATGGACGGGGAGAAGCTGGAGGACTGCTGCTGCTCTGCCCTCCGTCCTGCCCGGGGATGAGGCACCAAGGATCCAAAACACCTCCCACAAACTCTGAAGTATTCAACTCATCCAAGATTCACAAAAGTTTCAAAAGAAACAAGATAAAGGCCCTCTTGGGGTAGGAAAACCGCGGCCCCAGGTGGCCGTGGGCAGAGCGCTGCGGGCAGAAAGCAGACAGCCGGGATGCGAAGCGCGCCCCCCGCGCGGGGTGCAGGTCCGGCTCCCTCCCTGCCCGCGGGCTCACACCGCCAGCCCCACAGAGCTGCTTTCACTCCCCTCCCCGCCCCCACGGCACGATCCCCAGTCCCCACACTCACCCCTGGCGCCCGCCCCTCCTCTTGTGCCGGCCCCCGGCGCTCTCCCGCCGCAGCCCCGTCCGCGCCCGAGGGTCACCCCGCGGCCTCCCCGGGGCCTGCGGGGCCTCCGCCACGAGGCGGCCTCCCCACGCTCGCTCCCGCCGCCGGGCGGCGCCGCTCCGCTCCGCTCCCGGCCCGCCCGCCCGCTCTCTCGCTCGCTCCCCCCCCCCGGCGCGGCGCGGGCCGCCACTTACTGAGCATCGCAGGCGGAGGCGGCGGGAGGCGGGAGCCGGCCGGCGGGGCCGGGAGCGCTGTCAGTGCGCCCAGCCGCACTGGGCGGGGGCGCCGCCGCTGCCGCCTCCGCTGTGCGCCGCGGGCGCAGCGGCCGGGGTTGCCTGCGGGCCGGCGGCCGGCGGCGGCCTCTCCATGGCTGCCTGACACACGCCGCGGCGGGGCGGGGGCGAGCGGGGCCGGAGAGGCCCGCGCGCAGGCGCCCTCCGGCCGCCAATGGGAGCCGACCGCCCCGTGCCGCCTCCCCGCGCTCGGCGCTCGGCTAGAGGGGCCTGGAGGGCCGGAAGCGGCGTGGGTCCGCCGGCCAGCGGCGTGCGGTGTGGCGAGTGCCGGGCGGAGGTTGGGGGGCTCTTATCTCCGCCGGACGTTTCGCCCGGCCGTGTTTCTTCTCCGTTCAGCCTCGGGGCCCGTGAGGTGTCCTCATGGCGGCCATCTACTCCGGGGTTCACCTGAAGCTGAAGAGCGCCAGGACCCCATGGGAGGACAAGCTGAAGCTCGCTCGCTTCGCGTGGGTTTCCCACCAGTGCTTTCTCCCCAACAAGGAGCAAGTAAGCGTGGTTTGGTAGCAAAAGCGGGCAGAATCAGCGTCCCCAGCGGTGATGGGGACGGAGCTGATCTTGAAGGTCTTTACAACTTCGGTGATTCTGTGGTTGTATGAGTCACTAAACCCAGAGCTCGCTGCTTAGAGTGCTCTTGAGCTCTACGTGTCCCATGTGCAGAGACTTGCCCTCTCCTTAATTTTTTTTCCCCTTGGGCTGAAGTTCTGGTTTCCCTGTGTGAGGGCTGCCTCATGCTGCCCCTCCAGCGCAGAAGCTCGGTGGGAACTGCGCTTTGCACCACCTGAGAGCAGCTTGAATTCTTTTTATTTCGATTCCTTATAAATTATGGTGTAGCCCTACACCACATTTTGAAATCAGCATTTTAAGTCAGTAGTCTTCAGCCTCTTCCAATTTGTAGATCCAAATTCCTAGGCTTCAGTTTTGATGTAGTAAATTTAAACCTGCCAGGAAGAGGATATCAAAGTTACCCCATGTATTATCTGTCTTTGCAAGTCTGTGATTTAAAAGATTACCTTTGTTCCTTAGTGTCACCTGTTAGCATTGTTGTCTCAGTTGAAGAAGCTGATGAAAGGACTTCAGAGTGTTAACTGTCCCGTGAGCACAGGGCCAGCACTGGATTTAGAATTAAATGTCCTAGGATTTAGGTGATGTCTGAAACCTTCAAAAATAGACTTTTCTGCCCATTCAAACTCTTTCTGCTTGGATATAGAGCTCTTCTCAGGGACTGAATGCTGTAATTGTGATTAGATACTAGTTTTGTCATATTTTCACATTTGTGATTTTTTTTTTCTCCATTTGTTAACAGGTATTACTTGATTGGGTAAGCCATACATTGGTTTCATACTACAATAAGAAACTTGAATTGGAGGATGAAGTTGTTGAGAAGCTTTGGGCATATCTAGACAATGTTATCCATAGTAGAAGGCTACAGAATCTTTTGAAGAGTGGGAAGACGATCACTCTCAGCTTTTCAATTGCACAGGTAATGAAAATGATGGGTATTTTGTAATGTACTGAATAGCAATGCCTGTCTTCTACAATATGTGACCTTTCCTCACGGGATAGAGTGTTACATGAAATAAATAATAATTAACCTGATGTTTTTTAGGACCTTTATTAAAAACTCTTCTATTTCTGTTCTGCAATATGGTTTGTATTTGTGTGGAACTAAGACTGAAAAAGGCAGGGGATTCTAATAATAACCTCCAAGTTAATCTGCTTCTCTGTCTTTCACGTCTTCAAACTGTCTGAGTGGGAACTGAATTAAGTATTTAATTCAGGTAAGTAAAGGTTTGTTTGTGTTTGGTTTTCTTGTATGTTATTTAATGTTTATATTACCATTTTGCCTAGGAGTCTTAGGAGTGATTTTCCCCTAAATGAGGGGCTCCTCTGTGCAATTGGCATGAGTACTCATGCACTGCTCTGTGCTGTTCAGCGGACCCAGTCTCAGATCTTGCAGCTTTTCATGATGAATCTGAATGAGTTGTCCTTACGATTTCCCCTTCCACTGGGAGCTTAGGGCCCTCTCTCACCCCAGTAGACCAGCTTGCAGTGCTGTCATGTCCCTGTCTGTGCATCTCTGGGAGATCTATGTATGCCTGCAGGAGCTTTAACCAGCATTCTTTGGTGTCTGTCTCACCTGTGTTGTGTTTCTGGCCCAGTTCTCCCCAGTTTCTCTTCACTGGAGGAACCTTGCCTGCTAGATATGTGAATCTGGATGCAGATTATTGTGCCGTGCTGTTTGTCTCACAGTTTTCCCAAATTAATTTTTAGTTTGCTCACTGTGAATTGCATTAAACCAAATTAGTGGTGGCATCAAATCATTATTGAACTTAATCACTTTGTTATTTTAGCCTCAGATGGAAATCTATGGAGGAGACTTCAGTTACAATTTAACTAAGTTCAGAACTGAACCAGAAAGTCTAACTTATTATTTCAGCATCCTGATTACAAAAATGATAGAACTCATGGACAGCTGTTGGAGACAGTCAAAGTGGCTGAAAAAATGACCTCTTCAGTTGTACACTAGTTGGAAGGAAGCATGGGAAAGCAGTCGTTACCTGCTGGAATTGAGTTGTGAAGTACAGAAAATTGTTTGAATGAGAGGGGGAGTGGAGAAAGTGTACTGATTTAACCGTGTACTGAGTGTGAAGATGTCTGACTGAAGATTGGTTAAGAACTGTAGGCCAGAATGCTATTAAAACTATTTGGAGGTCACAAAAGTGAGCAGATATAAAGGGGAACAAAGGAGAAAACGGGGAGATCAACACAAAGTTTAAGAAAAGAAAGGGAAATGGAAGTTCAAGTTAAACTTGTTTAAGTAAACTTAAGTAAAGTTATTTGGAACTGCATACCTCTTAAAGAAAAGAGAAGACACTGCTTTAGTTTCCAGGTATTAGCACTGGAAGCTTTGGCTTCTATTGCAATGCAATGATGGTATTTAGTCATAGACATTTTTGCTTGTGGTAGACTTCTTGAACCAAAGGAAGTGTGTTATGTATGCTTTTTTGTTTGTTTGTTTGGAACATGATTTGGGGGACTTAGCAAGAAGAGAGGAAATTTTCTCTCCCCTCTCTTTCTGCAGGATTACTATTAGGATGAAATAGTGTATAGCATAGTGTATACTGTTTCTGGTAACATCTGTACTAAATGAGGGGTTCCTGTGTTGCAAACAAAGCTCACAGTTCTGGCCAGATGAGCTTCTAGTCTGAGACCTCTATGAGAGGCCCAGCAGCAGCTGTTGGCAAGTCCCTGTTCCTTTTTTCTTGCTTCCAGAGCTCACAGAAGAAGTTGTTGGTTTATTATGATGAGCTTTGTCTTTGTGTACAAAATTGATTGTTTTTTTTTTCTTTTTCTTTGAACATTCAGGTCATAAATGAAAGATTATCGGAGGCCTGCTCTCAAAAAAACCAGCAAAACCTTGGCTCGGTGCTGAGTTGCTCCAGCGGCATCCTTTCTACTCCTTCACTCTCCATCATTTACACAGCAAAGAGTGAGCTCTTAGTTGACCTCCTCAGCAAGCTCTCTGAGCTGGCATGTCAGCAGCTGGCTTCGGAAGATGCTGTTGGCTCCCAGTTGTTCAGCATCCTCCACCTTACCTTTGTACAGTACCTCCTGATCCAGAGGCAGCAAACCAACCCAAACCGTGTGTTTGGGCAGGTGACAAGCCACTTGTTCCAGCCATGTCTGCTACTGAGGCACTTACTGACCACACGGAGCTGGACACAGTCAGATGACAACCACGTGCGTCAGTATTTGAGCAGGGAAATCCGAAATCAAGTAGAGACATTGTTGCAGGCTGGATTATTCCAGCCTGAGCTCTTCTCCTCCTACAAAGAGGAGTTGCTGCCAGAACGGGAACCTCAGGAGAAGAAGAAAGGAGCTTTGAAAAATCTCTTGCTTCCAGTAAACACTGTGCAGACCAAGTTGAGGAGTGGCTTTTGTGAACCTGCCATTCATGGACCAGTTGTGGCTAGTGCAGTGTCCCTGCTATATAAACTCTTTCTGGACTCATACTGCAAGGCAGAAAACCACCTTGTGTGTTTCCACATGCTTACCAGGCTTTTTGACTGTCTCAGGCTCTCTGGCCTACAGCAGAGCGTGGGACAGGACACGCTTTCCCCTGCAGACTGGAGCACAGAGCTCCTTGCTTTGGAACAGCTTCTGAACTTGGTGCTTAACAATGATATCTATAACATTGCCAGTGACCGCATACGGCACAAGGAGGTACAGTTTGGGTTTTACTGCAAGCTGGCGCAGATGTTGTTGAGTCACTCCCAGGCTTCCATCCCAGCTTGGTTCAGGTGCCTCAAAGTTTTACTGTCATTAAACCACCTTATAATAGAGCCCGACCTGCTTGATTTAGTGGCCTCTGCTTGGGTTGATGCAAAGGTGTCTGAGCAACGTGCAAAGAAGCCCCAGGAGGCTCTGATCAACACCATGTTTCAGACATACTCCAAGCTGCGGCAGTTCCCACGGCTTTTTGAGAAGGTTCTGACAGTCATTTGCTGGCCAGCTGTTGATGAGCTGAGGCTGCCTGTCTTGTCTGCTGGATTGACAGTGAAACTTCGCGAGTGCCTCCTTGAGCTGCCACCCAACCAGATTCTGGACATTGTGTGTCTCTTAGTGGAGAAATGCCAGCTCCTTATTCCTGCAGTTGAAAGGTCTGTTGACATGGCCTTGAAACTGATGTCATTGAGCTCAGTGCTGCACGCTTTTCTGTTCAACATGAGGAGTTTAGATGATGTCACTCCTTCCCCTGTGGTTCTTCGTATGCAGAATCTGCTGGCCAAGATGCAACAAGAAGTAATTTGTCCACTGATAGAGCTGCTGAAGGCTCCTAGGAGAGAGGAAGAAAAGTCAGACCTTTGGCTAAGAAAGGCCAGTGACTCTGCTCTCCTCCTTGTTTACACTTGGATTGAGGTAGACACTTTGTTTAAAATTAGCTGCTGTAAATATGTGTCTCCATCAGCTGAAACTGGTGGTGCTACTACTGCCTCTGCTGCAAAGCCCTGGGACATTTCGACTTTCATTCCTGGTATGGAGGAGCAATGTTGGGAGAGAGTCATGGAACTTGCAAGTAGTTTTACCTCCACTAGTAAATACTGCTTAGAACTGCTTGCACTTCAGAAAATGAAAATGATTCTAATGCAGACTCAGGCTGACGTACAGGCCCTGCAGCAAGCTGCAGCTTTCATCATAGGGTCTGGGAGAGCTAGCATGAGCAGAGGAGAATCTGAACCATGGGATGGAGATATCTGCACAATAAATGATCTCACCTACCCCACAGCACACTGTCACCTCGTCATCTCTAACCTGACTATCCTGTTGCCATATATTTCCCTGAAAAATGTACAGGACATTGCAGATGTGCTTTTGGAGACGTTAGTATTGACCAGATCACAGGAAACTGCCACAGACCAGGAGCCTCCCATCAGCATTGGAAAGATCTGTCTCAGTTTGATGCGCAGTTCCTTTCTCCCTGAGATGAAGGTTCTACATTGTGCTTTTCTGACCAGCCTTATTCATCAGTTCGCGAAGGTGCTGCCCTCTGCTGCTCGGGATTCGGTAGATCTGCCGCTTCTGCAGCTGTCTGCAAATGATATCTCTTGGCATGAAGAAATCCTGGGTCCTTGCAAAACGACTGACGCACTATCAGAAAACAAACAACCGAAAGATGAGCCCAGTTTATCTTGGAAAACTCTGGAGAAGGTTGCCCAGTGTATATTACTGTTAGCAAAAAATAGTTCTCCTGTCATCCTGAAGGAAAGTCAAGTAGAAGGCTGTCTGACTTTGCTGGAAATTACTTCTCTTCTGAAATTAGACAGTCTTCTTCCCTCTGACTGTATCCGGTGTTTTTTATTGTTGCTGTCCCTGATAGCAAATACCAGGACTAGTGCCTCCTGCAGCAAGCTGTTATCACTGAAGTTTTTAAGTACTTGCTTCCATCTCCTCAGATGTCTGCAAGCTGGCAGGAATGCCAGCTCTGTTTTTAAAGTTTTTCATGCCAGTGATATTCTTGAGGCCATCTTAACGTCCCAACTTACAGCTAGCAAATCCTTTACTGATACTTTGACTGTTCCTGTTTGGACAGAATATCTCCAGGAAGTCCAAGCCTCTTTGGAACACTTTCTTCAGATGATTGTTGAAAGAAGGCAAAGTGTGAGGCTTAACTTGGAAAAGTTTGTCTCTTTCCTCTCAAGCTGCAAGCCAGATGTCGGTGCAGTGAAAAGCAAATGCAGGAAAAACTGGAATCCCGCAGCTGAGCAATTACTGCTCTTGTCATTCACCACACTGTGTCACGTCCTCACGCTCTATCTTCAGCAGCAACCAGAAAAGAAGCTGCAGTCTACAGACATACTGTCTGCTTTGTTGGAGCCAGTAGTTCAGCAGATGGGGAAAGCTATTGAGCATGGTCTTCAGAGTAACACCCCAAACCACCATTTGCCTGTAGCGTTCATACCATCTGTCATGACTCTTCTCAAGGCAGATTTGAGCCACGCTGTCAGAAAGGGCTGGCAAAAGAATCCTGAGGAGTCCTGTGCATTTTTGGAGCAATCTCGTGTTAAACTGTACCAAAAGTTTTACTCTCAGATACTGAGAGAGCTGCCCTCTGCAGGAGGTCATCTGCAGTTCCTTCAGTCTGCCTTGCGGTTTTTAGCAGTCTTCTGCTCAGTGCCAGAGCTGTATCCTGGAAAAGAAAATGCAGTCACTGTTGTTTTTGCTATCCAAAAGCTTCTCACTGGTATGAAATCTCCCTTTCTTTGCTTCCCTCTCTAATTTTGCATGGCAGAAGCAAGTTTAAAGCTGCTTGTGTAAAATACACAGCTTTTAAAAAAATTCTGTACCTGTTTACGTGAGTTAAAGCAGTAGGCTATCCTTTTTTAAAAATGCCTAATAGAAAAATTATCAGGAAGGCCATGTTGTAGAACCTGGCCCACAACAGCCATCTGATCTGATAAGGATCTTGTGGAAATTGTAAACACCTATGGCTTATTCATCTTTTAGTTCTTTATTGCATATTGCACCGAAAGGGAGTATAGCTTATTTGAAAATGTTGTGGAGTTGAATGCAGGGCACTGTGAGGGCGGGGATTTCATGTTAGGACTAGGAACTATCAGGAGATGTCTTGTCTATCATTATAACTTTTTTGCTGACTTCTCCTCAATCTGTGCCTAGCTTTCCTAGTGTTAGATTGCTGAAGTGCTTTAACCTGAGGAGATGATTAATCACTGTAAAAAGCTTTTTTTCTCTCATTTTTTTAATGAATAGATAAGGTATTACATAAATTGAAATATAGATTCCTGTTAAGGAAGACTTTTTTTGTCATTGACACAAATCCAGTGGATGCTTGTGGAACTGAGAAGCAAGCCTTCACAGTAGTCTAAGATGTAAACTCAGGACTGTCTATGTAGTAATAATTGAGCAAGTGAAGAGTATGACTGGTGATCAGTAGAGATCTGAGCTTTCGCAGCTTAACGCCCTTGACTTATGATGGCTCTTTGCCCAACACTTGTAGTACAGCCTGACAGCTTGTGTAGCCCATTTTCTTGGCTTCTGCACAAGCTTTATTGTAGCATTTCCATGTTTCTGAGAGCTTTTTATCAGTATGGTGACTGCTCTGTAAACTCTAGGGTAGTGAATACTTGAGAACAGCAATTCATTGCAATAGTGGTGGTGGTGGGGATAAAGGGAATACTTGGGGCCCATTATAAATGGGTTGAAAAAGTACCCACATTGCTGTTTGAAGTTTTGATTCACCTTGTTTCTCCCTGTGGAAGTCTCTGTCTTAGAAACTGAAACTTGCTTGTTCAATGTGCAGGTCCTGTGATCACAATTCAGGTGATTCAAAGTATAGAGGTGGAGCTGACAGAGGTGGTTTTACAGCTACTGGGAAACTGCTCTGCTGAAGAATTTTATGCCATAATGAGGCTTTTGCTGCAGGGACTTGAAATGAGGAACACTTGGCAACAGAAGGCTAAAGTAAGGAATGAGCTCAGTTTATTGTCAAGTTCTTTCTTCAGTTTTCTATAACTTGAAAAAATGAGTTAACTGGATGGCATCTGCTTAAATATTTTTTCCTCTTTCTGCTTTATGGTTTGGTCAAATTAATTTGTGTGGTTAAAGAATTTGGTAACTGCGTTGAGGTATGTTATGGATGTGAACTGAGAGAGGTGGAGTGTTCATGGAAACTTACTGGAAAAACTTTCTGACCATTTTCATAGAACTATAGAATACTTTGGATTGGAAGGGTCTTTAAAGATCTTCTAGTTCCAACCCACTTCATGGGCAGGGCTGCCACCCACCAGCTCAGGCTGCCCAAAGCCCCATCCAACCTGGCCTTGAATGCCTCTAGGGATGGGGCATCCACAACTTCTCTGGGCATCCTGTTCTAGTACTTCACATTTCCTCCCTATCATCTTACCTAAATCTCTTTTAGTTTAAAACCATTCCCCTTGTCCTGTCATTATCCGTCCATGTAAAAAGTTGGTGTTTCTCCTGTTTATAAGCTCCCCTGAAGTACTGGAAGATTGCAATGTGGTCTCCCCAGAGCCTTCTTTTCTCTAAACTGAACAAGCTCAGCTTTCTCAACCTTTCTACATAGGAGGGGTGTTCCAGCCCTCTGATAATCTTCATGGCCCTTCTCTGAACCTTCCTACAACTCATATGTTTCTTGTATCCGGGGCCCTGTACTCCTGATGGGGCCTCATGAGGGCAGAGTAGAAGGGGATAATCCCCTCCCTCTCTCTTCTGGCCACTCTGGATGCAGCCCAGGATACTGTTGCTTTTCTGGACTGCACACTGTTGGCTTATGACAAACTTTCCATCCACCAAGTTCTTCTCTGCAGGGCTGCTGTCTATGAATTCTTTTCCCAGTCTGTACACGTATCTGGGATTGCTTCAACCCAAGTGCAATACCTTGCACTTCACCCTGTTGAATCTCATTAGATTCACATAGGCCTGCTTCTCAGGTTTGTCCAGGTCCCTCTGGAGTTCTGTTGTGTCAACTGCACCACTCAGCTTGGTGTCGAGAGTACACTCAATCCCACTGTCTCTATCATTGATAAAGAACACTTGTGTGTTGAAGAACACTTGTCCCAAGATGGACTTATGCAGGGCACCACTTGTGACTGGCCTCCAGCTAAACATAGAGTTGTTGACCACAATCTTCTGGCTGCAACAATCCAATCTTTATCCACTGAGTGGTACAGCCTTCAAATCTATATCTCTACAATTTAGAGAGAAGGTGCGGGATGACGTCAAAGGCAGATGATATCAGGTGCCCTTCCTTTGTCTGCTACTACCATAATTTCATTAAAGGAGACTACTAGATTGATCAGGTATGATCTCCCTTTGTGAAGCTGTGCTGGCTGTCTTGGATCACCTCTTCATCTTGTGTATGCCATTATCTCTCTTCTAGGAGGATCTGCTCCATGATTTTCCCAGACACAGACATGAGGTTCACCAGCCAGTAGTTTCCTGGGTCTTCTTTTCTCCCTTTCTTAAAAATGGGAGTGTTATTTCCTTTTTTCCAGTCACTGGGGACTTCACCTGGCAACCGTGATTCCCAAATATGACGGAGAGTGATTTGGTGTCCAGATCTGCCAACTCCTTCAGGACTTTGGGATACATGTCATCCAGACTCATATGGACTTGTTCACGTTCAGCCTCAACAGGTGGTCTTGAACTTGCTCTTTGCTTACATTAGGAAGGATTTTTCTCCTCCAGCTGCTGCCTAGAAGTTCAGGGACACAAGAAATTTGGGTGGCCTGACTGCCAGAAGTGACAGAGGCAAAGAACTCATTGAGTCCCTCAGCCTTCTCCTTGTCTGTTGTAACAAATTCTCCCTTGTCATTTATCAGAGAGGGCACACTCTCCTTGGACTGACTCTTCTGATCAGTGTACCTGTAGAATCCCTACTTGTTATTTTTTTTCCTTGCTAAGTGTGGTTCCACTTTAACGACTCAGTAGCCTTAATTCCATGTATTGTCAACAGAAATCACGTTGTGATGCTGAAGATTTCTGCCATGCTGAATCTTTTCTTTTACTTGCTGATTAGAGCTCTTCTAGAACAGGCATTTAGCAGTCCGTGAGGTTAACTACTGCTTGTCTGTGATTCTCCTTAACAGGTTTAAAGACATTATTTTTTGAAATGATAGTAGTTTTAAATAAAACAAAGGCTGCACTCATGCCTTTGGTATTTGTCTCTAAAATGACTTTTACTTTGTAATAGTAATATTACTACTCAAAAAATACTACTCAGTAGCTTTTTACTGTGCCTTTCTCCACAAAAGCTTAAGCAGCAGTGGTAACACATGGAATACTTCAGGCTAAAAAGCCAGCTGCACCCTCCATAGAAAGCTCAGTGATTTGAGAGGAAGACTTGAATTAAACTTAGGAGTTATCTGATTGTCTTTTTTCTCAGAAGTAGACATGAATATGCCACTTCAATTCTTGATGGCTGTTTGAAAGTACATCTGGAATTCCTGTATATGCATGTGAGTCTACCCACCTGAGTGCATATAAGCACTGGAATACATATGTAAGTGCTCCAAGGTTGATATACAGTGATAAGACCATTTTGGTTTGTAGTGTGTTTCTTTATTCAGTTTGTCAAAACCAGATTTCTTTTTTTTACACAAATAAAAGTCTTGCTGTGAAATGCAGCATTCTTGGTATATCTTAGTATACTATTGTCCCTATACTCCTCTGGCTTCCTTCTGCTATGTAGTGGCTGCTAAGAAAGACTTTCCTTTCTTAAAAATCACTTCAACCTTTTCATACAGTAAGTTGATTCTGAATGTAGTAGGCTGTACATTTGGGCTTGTGCTGCTCAGCACACTGAATTTCATTGAGCTGGTAATTATTTTGCTATTTCCAGAGGGCTGTGCTGGTGGAAGGACTTTCATGTGTCAAGGCTCTGGTGATGCTCAAAACTGTCACAGCCCTTGAAAGAGCTCTTTTGTGCTTGAAAGGAACCAGTGCACCTTGTACCATGACTGATTGTCAATCTGCTTTCTGCAGGAAGTATTGTCAGCTATTACGCTAATCAAATTGTTGCTGAGCTGCCCATTAAGTGGAGACAAAGAGAAAGCTTTCTGGTTTGCCAGCCCACAGATAATCACAGCTTTAGCCGTAAGTATCTATTTATTGTAACTTCATTACCTATCCCTTTTATTTGTTGGAGTCCCTAGTAATTGCATCTGTAACATGCACAAAGGAATACTGGAACAAAAAGGTATTCATACCACATTCGCTGGTACTGTCTTGTGTAAATCTTTTCTCACTGCTGTCTGGTAAACCTCCTCCTGTGTGTAAGTCATCCACTTCTTATGTTTAATAATTTTCCTGGGACTGCAGTGTGTAATCTGGAGCTTGGAAGATGCTTGTTAGGCTGCAGAGAGAGACTCTGGATCTCCTGTCCTCCTCCTTCCTGTATAAAGGAGGAGGAAACCATCAGCTGTATGTCACAGAAAAAGCTAACAGCAGCAAAACAAACAGACAAAAGAATGAATATGCTTATATTAAAAAATTCACTGATTTTAGAATAGGAAACTTAACTGACAGTAATAAAATTCAGGCTTTATGTCCTTGACTGTGCAGCATCCAAACCTAGTTATATAGGTATTTTTTCTTCTATGGTGATTATGTGTCTCTATCTGGACCACTATTTGTCAGATGCTGGCTCTACAGTGCTGGGAAACAGAACTTGCAATTTCTGCGCTTCCTCTGCATGCTTGCAGAAGAGAGAACTGGATCAACGCACTCATGTGAGGAAGTGTAAAGAAATGCTGGCTACTGTAGTGTAGAGTAGTCCACTTTATAAGGAGGCTGGGAAATAGTTACAATTCCACATTATAGCAGTGCTCACCTGAAAGGTATCACATGCATCCTCTGTTCAGGATGCAGTTACAGCGAAATTGCTGAAAGTGAAGGAGTCTCTCTGCAATCTAGCTTGCACCAGTTTAGTTCTAATGACTCAAGTCAAAGTACTGTGGTTCTCTGTTTTTTGAATGCTTATGAAAGGTGGCTGACACATACTTTCTCTGTTTCTTGTGTAGCTGCAAACCAAAGAGGCCTGTCAGGACCAGTCATTGACTTCCAACATAGTTGTACCTATTCTAAAGACTGCAGCAGCTCTACTAAGGCAAGGAGAAAGAGTTCTCTTGAATCCGCACCATGTGGCGTTGGCATTCAGCATCCTCCTAACAGCCCCTCTGGATCATCTGAAGATAGAGGACTATGAGAATGTCTTTCTGGGAGTCCATGAAGTGCTGTTTTCTATTGTGCAGTGTCACCCAAAGGTATATCTCTGAAGTGGTGGGAGAAGGAAGGAAAAAGCAGAAAGAACTAAGACAGAAGCTGATGATCAGAAACTTTGAAGAGTTGTCTTGATATTATTTGTCCTGCTTGAGTGAAAGTGCTTTGTACCACTTTTCATCTAAGAACCTCAAAATCACATCACTTCAATTACTACTCTGCTGTCTTATGCTTGCTTTGTGAGCTGTCAGCAGCAGACTGCTTTTCCAGCAAGGTGATGTGCCTTTGCTAAAAGCCTGTGGTAAAAACTGCCTATCCAGACTCTTTTTAGTGTTCCTGAACCCTGCATTCTCTGAGTATGACTACACAGCTTCTCCACCAGCAAGTGCAAATTCCCTACGCATGGGAGTACAAATTCAAATGTTGCTTTACGGGAGATGGAGTAACTCTAATGTGATGTTTGCTCATTATTTATATTTGAATATGCTCATGAGTGTAGACCTGCTCTAGGATTCTCATCTGCTGGAGTCTACTGATGAAGAATGTGAAGATAGTCTTTGCTCCTGATATCTGTATAAGCCACATAGTTTCCTTCTCAGGAGTTAATTTCCCTCTTACTATGGAATGCTATACATATCTGTCCTTGCCACACGCTTTACCACATAATCACAGGTGTTTTTACTTCATGTCTTTGCAGGTGATGTTGAAAGCTGCACCATCGTTTCTGAACAGTTTTCATCGTCTGGTTGCTTCTGTCATGGTTGAAGGACGTCAGAGAGGGGACAGAGGTGTCATATCTCTTCTACTTTCATACTGTATATGTGCACTATAATTGTGTATATGCTGCGAGAGGAGATGCAGGACAGGGCAGGCTGGCAACAGATGAAAAGTCCTCTACACCTACTCATGGCATTGAAACCATTAGCCCTGTCTGTCCTGGACGTAAATTTGAGGATTAGTTTTATAGTGCACTGCACACGTAAAGATAAACGGAGCTCCTGTGAAGCTGCATCCAGGCAGTACTTTTGGGGGAATAAGGTGTTCCTTGCTGTCTGGCAGGTGATCAGCATGCAATAAGACTTGCTTTACCCAATTTCTGCTCTTCCTATTAAGTGATACAAACACTTTATAGGAAGGCGGCTGTGAACTCAGCTGATACATACTAGCACACTTGAATAAGAGTCCTGAACTGGTCCTGCTGAATGTAGCTTCTTGAGGCTGAAACTGTTTACTATGGACCTGAATATTTAGTGGTTTATGTTAAGCGTGCAGCCAAGACATTCAAGTTACTGGGGCTGAGTATCTTAAAATTAAGTAAAATATAGACACTTTACTGGAAACTGTTGAAGAATTCACATTGACCATAAAGCATGAGTGTCAAAGTAACTTAGTGAAGGATGTTCACAGTCCTGTATTTTTGTGCTGGCCAGAACACAAATACCCTGTCATTAATCATGGTAATGCTTTGAAGCAAACTGACTCGATGGCTGGCAACTTACCATGTCACAGCTCTCTACTGATGCCCTATAAGTTGTTCCATGTTCGGTTTTATCTCAGCTGATGTGTGTTGCCCACAACTATTTGTGTCTGTATGTTAATACTCATATATATGCATGATGTGTAGATTTCCCTTCTTCCTTGTTTGTATTGGTTCTTCTCATTCATTGCCTACTGAAAGAGTGAACTCTCAGGTGATCTCTCCAGTCTCACTTTAATATCTCCAGTGCTGTGGCTTCTGCTCTTATATTTCACCTAATAAATGTCATCAGAGAGCTTTCTTACTGTGCTATTTCTAAGAGATGTCTTCTGATTTTCTACCAGGTAGAGAATATCGCTTCCTAATCTCCTTATTTTCCCTGGTGTTCACTGGGTTTGAATCATGGCAGGGACGATAGCTGCTGCTTTCAACTCTTCGGCATATCTGACAGATACCTCTTATATTGCACTGTGTGTGGATCTAGGATTAGTGTGCTCTTACAAATCTGCCATTGTAAGAGATGTATGTGGTGTGTTGTGCGGATGTGGGGGGACCTCTGAGCTGTGGCTTTTCAAAAAAAGATAAAATGAATAAGCTGGCGTTGGCTTTGTGCGTGAGTTTGTTTTTTTAAAGGCATTTTTTACACTTGAATAACAGATTGCAACTTGCTTTCTTTTTCAGGCAACACAGATGAATTTGAAGTTATACTGAAATGTGCACACCTTGTGGAACGGATGTATAGTCACATTGCTGCAAAAACAGAGGAATTCACTTTGTTTTCTGCTTTCATTGTGGCTCAGTATGTGACAGAATTGCAGAAGGTAATATGTTCTGTTTTGAAAGTGCCATGGTATTGGCATATGCCTTGTACCGAAGCAGTTCTGATCCAGACTTATTTTGAGCAAGAGTTCCTGAGAATCTTTCTTACTCAACTCCTAACAGCTTTATAAAAGGGTGGGGTCTAGCTTCTCACAAGACCTACATTCAGATTGCTATTCTCTCCAACGTAATGAATTTCACCAGGATTTGAATGCTGCATGCATTGTCAGTACCTGCTAATTATTTGTGGCTCTAGTCTGGACATGGAGAAAAATACACAGATTAATTTTATTACATTTTTTTCTGTGGTAAGAAGACTATCTGATGCTATGACCACTTCAGGACTCATAAAAAAAACAAAGCATATTACTAAGGGCATTATCCAAATGCCATTTGAACACTGACAGGCATGGGGCATCAACCATTTCGTTAGGAAAGCTGTTCCAGTGTTTTACCCCCCTCCCCCTACCATGATAAAGAACTTTTTCCCAGTAGCTGATCTGAACCTCCTCTAAAACCTGATGCCTCATCTGAACCTCACATTCTTTTGAAAGCCAGTTTTGCCATAAAAAAATTTATGGTCAGAGGACCTGCACAAGAGATGCTGTTTTTGTGCACAGTCCCTCAACGGGGAGCTTATAAACAGGAGGGCAACCAACTTTTTATGTGGGTGGGTAGTCGTAGGAGAAGGGAGAATGGCTTTAAATAAAAGGGGAGGTTTAGATTAGATGTTGGGGTAAATTTTTCACTTATAGGGTGCTGAGGCATGGGCACAGGCTGCCCAGAGAAGCTGTGGATGCCCCATTCCTGGGGGCATTCAAGGTTAGATTGTATTGGGTCCTGGACAGCCTGATCTATTAGAAGATTTGGGGGGACTGGAACCAGATAATCTTTAAATTCCCTTCCAACCTAAGACACTCTGTGAAGAAACTAGGGATGAATTGAGACTAGTTTTGTTCTATTGAACTAGCTCTGAGCTTCACTGAATTTTGTTCACCACTGGATGTAGAGCCTTTACTCAGAGTGAAGCCTAGCTTGAACTATCAAATGACCTTTCAAGTTAGAAGCTTGAGTACAGTCTTGTGAGACTTCTAGGAAAGTTTTGTGTAAATCCTTTCACTGATGATTGAGAAGTGGTGGATGATAGTTGAAGCTGCAGATTGGAATATATGCATGGAACCTATGGATGTGGAAAAGTGAATTTGTGTAGTGAACTACAGGAAGCTGTGACAAAGGAGTCTTTTCAGTCTCTGACAGAACAAGTAGGTGATGATTTGTTTCACCATTAAACAGGTGAGAATTGATGGATATCAGAGGAAAGGGAGGACTCAGCATGCTAGTCTAGAAGAAATGCATAGATATATTTTATGTTGCTCTGCAGAGGGAGAGAAAAAAATACTTTAACTGTTTATCTCATCAAAGTCTATTTGAGTGGCTTTTAGCCTATGTCTG